TCTCTCTCTCTCTCTCTCTCCCTCCCTCCCTCCCTCCCTCTCTCCTCCCTCTCTCTCCCCCCTCTCTCTTTCTTTATTTATCTTTCTCGCGTATTCTCTTTTTCACCCCACCGCGATGACGTGGCCATTCTTCCCGAGTCGCGCAGTATGGAAACCAAACACGTATATACGCACGTCTATATCTGTGCAAAGTATATACGCTCAGTTTTCACTTTCTCCCTTCATCACGAGCCAAAAATCTTCTACGGCCGGAAGTCAATTTCTGCCGAGACTCCAATCGACGACATCACGCGCTCGGCTTTTCTTAATCGCTCATCTTTACTCACGAGGGAAAGAAAGTGCGCCAGCTTTTTCTAAACTCGCCCTTTTTCTTTTTATTACAATGCTGGTATTATTCTTTCGTGGTGGAAGAATTTTAAATCTTAGCTAAGTCGACTTACGATTTTTCTTTTTCTCACTTTACTCGACAATCGCCACCATGAATGTGCCACTATTGCTTTTTATTCGTCTGTCGATGACTGTAAATCGAAGATAATTTAGTTACAATTTAACTGCAATTTTTGCATGCACATTAAACGGGAAAATTGCAATTGATTACTGCAATAGAAATAATCTATTAAATGTGTACTTCTTTAGTCCCTATGCAAACCTCATGAATTTTATATATAAACAAAATACTTAGTCTGGCTAGGGTTTAGCCGACTCCCATGAACATAAGAAAAATCATAAATTATTAATGTTTATTTTATCGCTTAGTTAAATAGTTTACTTAGTTAAATCTTGTTATTAGGATTGTAAAAGAGAACTGTAAATTTTGCAAAGCTAGAGCGGATGATACGGTAAATATAATATTGAAATCCGAATGTATTTTTAACGAAGATTTTATTGCAAAGATGTTATTTGCTCATGCTTCAGCAGAAATTTCGTAAAGTTTATTTAATCGTGCATCCCTATTTAATATTAATAGGCAAGTGAACTGATTTTTCGTCCTCTTTGTTTCTTCTAGGCACTGGTGAATCCGGCAAGTCCACATTTATCAAACAGATGAGAATTATCCACGGTTCTGGATACTCGGACGAGGATAAGCGGGGGTTCATTAAGCTGGTGTACCAAAATATCTTCATGGCAATGCAGTCCATGATTCGAGCGATGGATCTTCTGAAGATCCAGTACGCGGAGTCATCAAATATAGTAAGTGTTAAAGTGATGAATAAACAAAAGTTTTTGGAGCCCGCCGTCCTTGTAAATTACAGGCGGTGAGGCATGATGGTTGACCTATTATAAGTCTTTATCTCGTTATTTGGACTTTTACACGGATTTTGTAAATTTAGAAACTGTGAAAATACAATTTATTCTTTCGATTCAACCAAATATACCAATTGCGAAGATTTTCAAGCTTATTTCAGAGTTTAAAAGGCACATTAACGTGCCATGATTTACAATACGCTAAATTTAAAAAAGAACGCATATTAATTTCTATATATATATATATATATATATATATATATACATTTATAAAAAAAAAAAATAATAATTCAATACTTCTGGTGTTGCAAACCTTTAATATTTCTGCAAACAGCAGATGTGCTTTCAATGATTTGTTTTACTACTTTATGGCACTGCAATATGATGAATAGATTGCTGTATTTTTTGTGCCTTAATAAAATTTCGAATCACTAGGTAGTAGAAAATGCAATAAATTATATTTATAGATATTTTGTTTATAAAAGTACTATACCATTATTAGAATATTAGAAATTTCATCATAGCGAGATATAATTATTTATTGTTATTTGTATCATATACGTTAGCATATGCAGCATGCGTTATGCAAAAGCTATATTCGTTTTTGTTTAACAATCAATTAATCAGTGGGGCACCGAGTGAAAGTTTACAATATTAAAATCATATCATGAACGAGGATGTAATCTATTAAAACGTTACTCACTATATTACCTAATTATTATAGAGCACTGAACGACGAAGTTCAATTACACACATTTATACGAGGTAGTTCCGACCGATATTGCTTACGAAGTAAATCACATAGTAATTTATAAAATAATTATTTAGTCACGTGATTTTGGTCGAATGAACGAACAATCTGTAATAGAGCGCGTGGAGAAATTTCGTTTGGCTAATCATCCTAATTATTCGAATTTATCGTGTCGTTAAAACCAAATAGATTTATTTTCTCAGATTAACAATCGATTAGTAATATAAATTCCTCGATAAAAAATTAATTAACTCTTGTTACGTTGAAGATAAATATACTGTTTACATAAAAGGATTTCTTTTGTGTAAAAAGATTTTTATTTGATAATTAATGTATCATATATCGTTGTCATATATTGATTACATTTTTAAAGCTCGAAAACCATAGAATGAATTTTGTTTCAGAATGAAATATAGGCTAAGGAAAATTCCCATATATTCTTTCGAAATTTATAAATCATTCGAATAAAAATGTCCAAAGTATTTTTAAAGGTCAATGTACGTAATAATTAATTTATAATAATTTCAAGTCAATTTCTGATTAATCAACCTTGCTCTTAAAGTCTTGGGTAAATTAAATTAAAAGCTTTATGAAAGTATTTGAACAGAATGCATTTAAAGTATAAAAAGGTTTAAATTTTCAAGTATAAAAATCATATATATATATATATATATATATATATATATATATTTTTTTTTTTTTTTTTTTTTTTTTTTTTTTTTATATAACTTTTACGACTAAAATGCTTAAAATTTTCCTATATGTTCATCCTCTTTATCGTGTTGATATAAACTAATGGACGAACTGAACTGTTAGCAGCAGCGTTCGTGACCAAGTCTTCGTTCGGCTTCTCTCGCAATTCATACGCAAGCAATAATTTTAGCAATTATGTCGGGAAATAGTATTTACCTACTCTGTACTTTTCATTGTGCTTAAATCGTTTGCTTTTGTCAAGTATCATCTTGCCGCTTCACGCACTCCTCTTCGTTGCAGTATTCTAAAACATTGCATTTCTAATTTCCTTAAAATAGTCTAAATATTTCTCTTCCAACTGTAATCTACATAATATCATTGCTTATGTCATATCTAGTATTTTAAACTTTTTTTTTTATAAAAAAAATCGTAGGTTTATATTTGTGTGTGTGTGTGTGCGTGCGTGCGTGCGTGCGTGCGTGCGTGAGGGTAATAGATACCTTTTTATCAAATATTAATAACAGACGTGCGAGCGCGAGCCTCATTTATCTACGCAGCGTAAATATTAAGTATATTGTTTATAAAAATTTTAAAATGATCAAATAAAATAATCAATTTCACTGTTTACTCAAACGCCGTATTTACGTATGCAATTTTGGTTTTGCATAGAAACTCTTTAAACACGCCTGTGCCTCAAAGTTATTCGATAATCACAAATGCAATGAGTCATTTTTAACGAAAATTCTTCGACATTTAAAGCAATCAGAATTTTCCGATATTCTTTTAAAAAACGTTGATTAAGAATCTTTTAAGATTTTTTTTAACGAATAAAACTTATTTTTATAAAAGTCAACGAATCATTTAGAAAAATTGATGCATTGAATTAACAAGAAATTATATTTATTCAATTATAATACGCAACTCTATTACAGCCGTTTCTTCAAATAATAATTGTCGATCATCTAGAAGTGTCTGAGAAATATTTTTCGCATATTATTCGAAAATCATTCGAAAATAAGAAAAAGTGCGTCGTTTGAAATGTGTGTTGTCTACTCTCGAATCTTCAGTTGAAATCAAATTCTACTTATGTCCAAGTTCATAAGGCATCGGTTAAGTGCATAGGAAACCAATTTTTCAAAAATTCTCTATTGACAGAGTCTTTTAATTAATAAATTATAAATGACGACATTAATTGTAAATAAATTAGTATATAATAGTAGAAAATTGATGGATTAATATAACCTGTAATATTCGTAAATTTTAGGAAAAGGCCGAGCTTGTTCGAGCCATTGATTTCGAAACGGTAACGGCTTTTGAAGAACCTTACGTACAAGCGATAAAAGATCTATGGGCAGACGCTGGTATACAAGAATGTTATGATCGCAGGCGAGAATACCAGCTGACGGACTCTGCAAAATAGTGAGTTATAATTTGATAATCTGATATAGTGAAGAAATAATTTGCATTTTATATTTCACCTATAATAAATTTAAAGCTAAAATTACAATTTTTCATGTTATTTGACGCAGAGGCATTTACTTAACTAAACCATATTTATCTATGAGAAAAATATTTTTATATTTCATGTGTATATATGGCTCAAAATTTTACAAAAAAAAAGGGGGTAAATTTTTAATTTATCGTTCATTCTGAATGAACGATTAAATGATTTTACTTCTCGTATTATATATAGTCCAATTAAATTCTTAAGTGAAATCTTTGAATAATGAAATCCAGATATTTATGATTGATTTCATTTTAACGTTTATCGTTAAAAATTGCACACAAAAACATTTTTATTTAAAGCTATAAATTTGTTCTGGATATTTATAGCCTGCATTTGTTTAAAATAATTAAATCACTTACTCAAATACTATGTATTTTTATATAAGTAATATATGCATAATAAATTATATATATATATATTTTTTTTTTTTTAATTTTACTTGTAATGATGGAATCTATTTTCAACTATTGGAATTTTTATAAAATATTATATAAAATGTAAATGCTAATTTTATGGTAAAATAAATAATTTTACACGCACCTAATACTTTATTATAATCATTTACGAAATTTTCAAATAGTAGTCTATAATAAATAATAATAATAACATAATGTAATAAAAAATTCATATAAACGAATAACATTGAATTTTATGTCTTTCAAGTCACAATCTTATTAAATAAATAAATTGAAGAATATTAAATAAAGTATTTATTCTCGTTCATAATAATAATAATTTTAATAATATTAATACCTTATTTTAAATTAAATGATAATTAGTTTAATTGTTAATTTATTCAGGGACAATGATCGCAATATTGTGTATTAATGTCGGTTAGTCTTGAATGTACTGAGTTGATGATTTATAAACTTAACAAGAATTTGCTCTTACGATATTATTTTAACGAATTCTAAATATATAGTGATTAATTAATTTTTATTCAGAATAACTTTTAATATGAAAAATAGCTCCGTCCCTTTATAAATAATGAAATGACTTATTATTTCTTTAAATACTATTGATATATTGTAATTTTGTTATTAAACAATTTATATTATACAGTATAATTGAGCTATTCGGTTTATTTTAATATAAGTTATAATATAAATATAATTTTAAGAATTATTGATATAATTAGAAAATATTTGAAAATATTATTTCATATTCAAAATTATTTAATATACATCTGAAATATTTAGAAAACTAATTGTATTATCCTATGTATTTCGTGTAATATTTGAATGCAATTATAGTAGTTTTTGATGACACTGTTTTGATAATTTTATTGTATAGATATATACATATATGAGCAAATGTTTGTGAAAATATAATGGAGATGAAGTAAAATCAGCATTATTATTCTATTGGAGTTTCAGTTTCATAATAGATTTTCGAAAATTATAAAGTTCATATAAAACAAATTGAAATATTTCTATATATTGAAGAAAAATTTAATCTTAGACAATGACAATAAAGATTATTAAACTCAATGTTATGATCAATAAAATTTTCTTTTCTAATTTTAAAATTTATTGTAAATATCAATTATAATTTTTATCTTAATTTATATCTTAGTGCCGTTGCTTATCCTTTTTTTTTTTTTTTTTTTTTTTTTTTAATAATGAAATTTACCTTGTTATAATTACATTTTTATAATAAATATACATAAAAATATAATATATTAATAAATGGTGCTTGAAATTTTTATAATTATTGCAATTTGTCTCGAAGGATTTTCATTTCCATTAAATTGAATTATGTATACACATATACATATATTATTTTTTAATATCGTAATAAATATTTTCAATAAGAAATTTTCTAATTAAATCAGATTTTAATGATTTAAAAACTTCTCTCAACTTTACAATCGCGAGGATTAATGCACGTAAATGTAAAGCAAAGAGGAAATGATGTTGTTGGAGTATTAAGTAAACGGTGTTACAGTTACCTGATGGAGATAGATCGAGTTGCGGCACCAAACTACCTCCCTACAGAACAGGACATTCTTCGTGTAAGAGTGCCTACTACCGGTATTATTGAATATCCCTTCGACTTGGAAGAGATTCGATTTAGGTACGTCGTCGAGTGTCGGAGTAAACCTGGAAAACCTGGTGGATTATAAGGACGATTGTTGGTTCACCATTGCATGCATTTCTCTTTATTGGGCTTATCTATACGCGCATGCATAAGTACCTGCATACAAACGCGCACACATACCTACGTGTACATCTTCATTGTCTTTTTTAATCCCATGACGTTAGTTGCATGCGCGTGCGAGTGCGCACGAATTCACGATTGCCATTGTACATCGAGTCACATGACGCTTTAATTTTAATTCTTTACTAATCAGTGACCAAAAACGCGATTGGAGATTCCGCCCGATCTATTATTCTTGCTCAGATCTCTATGTATTCTCTCTCCCTCTCTCCCTCTCTCCCTCCCTCTCTCTCTCTCTCTCTGTGTCTCGTTTCACTACTCTGCACGCGAATGCTGCATGATCCTCGGAATTTTGTCAATGCTTTTTAACGAGATCGTATTCAACGAATCGAGTGCGCAACACACCTGACATAACAACATTTCAGTGGTGTAATTTTGGATTTTTTTTTCATTATTAATAGGAATACCGCTGAAAACGTGTTTATTATTCTGAACGAATTTCAAATGAATTGTAAAATCCGTTATTATCTGTATGTTAAAATCACATTTACGCAAAGTCAGCCGAACAATTATTTACCGTCGAACCTAAACTTCTGCATTTGTTATGTTTGTACTATTTGTTTATTAATAGTTAACTTGTGGATTTAAGATTTCTCTTAAAGTATCTCAAATACAATTATTTTGCTTCAGTATGCTTTATAAATTAAATGAAATTATGTCATGGGATGTGACCGCAGGTGAGATCTTTGTATAATTAAGTGAGAGAGAATTGGAATAACTCCTTTAAATTGTATTTCCCCGTCATTTATTATCATAAGAAATGCGTTTACATTGTTTCTTTTAATTGGTAATTGATGCAACCTTTAGCAGCACTTTTAATAACCATAATTAATCTTCGCGAATGAAAAGAAGAAGAAGAAGAAGAAAAAAAAACATTTCAATCTATTCAAAGACGATTTCAAAGACGAATGTAAGTGATAAAAAGGAAATTGTCAAACAGATTGTTAAATTTTGCAAATGTGCTCAGCAATACATATAAATGAATTTTCGAAGCAAAGTGTCGCGTCGATAAAGTAGAATTGCCAGTCCCCTCTCATTTACTAGACGTTTATCGCATTACATTACAGGTTGCATGGACATTATGGACTCGCTACTTGCAGTTTCCTCGGCCTTCATCTTTATTTAACACCTTTTTATTTAACATTTTAATTTAACTTATAACTGCATGGCATGCGATACGAACGACAATGGGTTGGTTTGTGTTACAGTTATATTAGTGACCTTGAGCGCATTGAAAAGCCCGACTATCTCCCCACCGAACAAGACATTCTACGAGCTCGAGTTCCTACAACCGGCATTTTAGAGTATCCCTTTGATCTGGACTCCATTATATTTAGGTACTTACTAAGCGCCCATATGATCGGATTCTTAAACGATACGAAAGAACAGTCGGATGTTAACGTAAAATGGTAGAGCAGCATTAAAATAGTCGTTCTGAGACATTGGAAAAAGTAATTTCATTTCTTCGACATAATGATGAAATATTGTCAAATGGAAATTTTCATAAAAGTTTTATGTATATATATATATTAAAAAAAAAAAGTAAATAAATAAATAATGCATAAATGTATAAATTTATTATACGAACTTTATTGCGTGAACATTGGCGATATCATTCATTTATTCCAACGAAGCCCTAGCTTAGATTATCAAAAAAATTTATTAATAATGAAATGTCTTATCAAAAATTTTACAAATAATAGATGATAGACTTTTAACGATGGATGTTTAAATAAAATACTCCAAAGGACCAAACTCTTTGTAAGAATGATTTTGTATATATCTTCTGTGTTAAACACTTCTTTATAATATGACTCTGTCCACTAACAATTTTCAAGCATGATTAGTTCTTATTGGTGTATAGATTTCAAAACTTTTATATTCATTGAATGCTTATAATTATAATTTTATTAATGTTTAATGTGATGTCTGCTAATAAATCAATAAATCACGGACAAAGCTATATTTACAATCTTATGGTTTGCAAGACTTCAAATTTACAAGCATTCAAATTGTTACAATATTATCAGTTTATTATCAGAATCTTATAATCTGTGAAATTCATAATCTTACAGGATGGTAGACGTCGGCGGTCAGAGATCAGAAAGAAGAAAATGGATTCATTGTTTCGAAAATGTAACTTCCATTATATTTTTGGTAGCTTTAAGTGAATACGATCAAATTCTCTTTGAATCGGAAAACGAGGTAATTCCATATTATATTTAGGTAACATGTATATTTTGTAATTAGCTTACGATATACTAAAGTTGCCGTCATATTTTTTAGAATCGAATGGAAGAAAGTAAGGCACTGTTTAAAACGATCATAACATATCCGTGGTTTCAACATTCTTCCGTCATTCTGTTCTTAAATAAAAAAGATCTGTTGGAGGAAAAAATTATGTATTCTCATCTCGTCGACTATTTTCCAGAATATGATGGTAAGCCTTCAAATATTATTGTTTGCGTTGTTTTTAAAAACTTTGGGTTACTGAGTCAAGTCAATTGAGAACGTATGTTCCTCGTTTATATATTTATATATAAATGTATATATAAATTTTTTTTTTTTTTTTTTTTTTTAAATAAATAAGGTATACAATCGTTTTCACGAATATGTAATAAAAATACTTTTATTTATTTGCATTAATATCATCGGAATTTTAAATATTTTTCAATACATTATAAAGTCTTGTAAGTGCGTAACTCTCCCCCTCCCCCCATCCACCCCCCCCCTCACCGCGCTTCCCGTTTTTTATTGAACAGAAAAAGCTGAAAATTCACGAACACTGGAATAAAAACCTAAACAAAACCGAATATTGACTTATCTATAAAAATTTTGCATGAAAATTAATTATCGATAAATCTATAAATTAATTATAATATCGTACACTATATTAACTCTCTATAATTGGCTTTTATATTACATAATGATTTCTATACATAAATGCATCAGTTCCATTAAAATGAAAAAAAAAAAAAACTAAACGAACGTACGTTTTCTCGTACGAGGACGAATATCTTGTTTGGCTGCACTTCAAAGCATAATCGAGCTAATATTTTATAATAATAAATTAAAAGTTTCTCGTAGCAAAATTTTTCTTAATATAATTTTTTCTGGCCATTGACTCAGCGCACCGAGTCACCGCAAATACCGTTGGCCGTCATTGAAATCTGCTCAATCAATAAATATCATCTATAAAGCCCATTTGAACAACAAATTACTATTCGAACACATTAAATAAATCGGCACCCGAACGAAATCTAACGCTAAACGTGATAATTCTGTCTCTAATGGATAAATGCCGATTTCTGTTATCCATATGCGATTATTATTGATAAGTTATCATTGAGTAACTTGTTGTATGGTCTAGGGCCCAAACAACAGCATGAACCGGCTCGGGAATTCATCTTAAAGGGCTATCTCGCATGCAATCCTGATCCCGATCGCATGTGCTACTCTCACTTCACTGCCGCGACAGGTCCGTTAAATCCAAAACAAATTCGGAACAAGAGTGAGTGAGCGAGTGAGCGAGCGAATGATATTTGTGTGTGTGTGCGCGCGTGTGTGCGCGTGAGCGAGTGAGCGAGTGAGCAAGCGCAATCGCCGTAAATTGATTTTACCTTTGTGTACTTGCTGCTAGTACTGTATTTTAAGTAACAAGTTTGCTCTTTGAACCAAAATTCACGTCAACGTGCGGCTTTAATAGTGACTTCTTTGTAAATTATGCACACTTTATCATAAGTACCGCTTCTGTAATTTGTATTTACAATTTATTACACGGTCTTGATGTTTTATTAGAAGAATGGGAGTTTTAATGATTATGGCATCGCTCGGCCAACATAAAAATGTTTCGAGCTTGTTATATTTTGAAGTATATTTTTAAAAAATCGTTCAATCAATGTCAAACGACAAGCATTCGACGCATTCGAATAAAGTGACGTCACTTCGTTATACAAAAATTCGTTATGCACAAGTAGATATTGTCATATAGATTACTTTCTTAACACCGAATTTGGATTATCATAACGATTTCTCGTCTCAATTCACTACATAAGAGCTCCCCGTGCACGTGTTTAATAAATCCGTTTAATTACTTTAGTATGTACGAGGCTTCCACGATGGATTTCCGCGTCATCTTTTCGCTATTCGTCCCTCGGACTCGTCTTCTTGCCCCACCCTCCTTCTACTTGGCCCGCGTGCCCATCTTACTCGCGTGCATGCATACGCAATAGCGCGCGCCTACACACATACAGATAGTGAGAGCGAGAGAGCGAGACGCAAAACTCCCACTCGCAATACTCCCTAATGTGATTAAGCGAACCTCGGGAATGGGCTATTGGATTTTGCATTCGAGTCGGTCGTGAACACCGACAACTACTTACCCTTGACCAATTGTATTTTCCATCCCGACAAGTTTGTTTATTTCCTGTATTTAAGTTTAAAAGAAGATTATACTAAAACATTGAACGACGGCTAGTGCCGAAAAATCAATTACGCGTCTTTGATTGAATTTTTGATGACGAGATTCCGGGTAGTAACATCGCGTTTATAGAAATCTCATATACGTATAAATCTGATAATAATACTCCGTTCCACGCATCGATGATTAATAATTGACTTAACAACATATGGATGTAAAACGGCATCGAGTCGAGTGCGAATCAATTTAAATATTCAATGAACGAGTTATCGAATACATTGCTAATATTTCAACATTATATCCTCCTCCGAATTATTTGTAGTATATTCTCCAATTGAGCCAAGTTTAGTAAAATCCCAAAAAAAAAAAAAAAAAAAAACAATAATTTATATCGGTAGAAAATAAGAAATGTTCGTGCACAAAAAATTCGCTTGTTAAAAGAGGATTGTATTTTCTTGCTTTAGACGTATATAAGAGATGATTAATCATTATAGCCTTCGAGTGCAAAATGTCGATCGGTGTCGCATAACTGTGTTACGAGTGCAAAAGCGCACTCTTACAACTTCCGTAGAGAATCCATCGTATATTTATCCCAATTCAGTTTATTATTAATCACCAAAGTAATGTAAAGCGAAATAGATAATAGAAAAATAGAAAAGCCAGTAAGGTATTTCGTAAAATAAAGTAAGCTAGATTATCGCGTAGCAGTCGATTTTGCGCTGTAAGCTTGTTGTTTGTCTTATATTTTCTAAAGGACCCCAAAGAGATGCGACAGCAGCTAGAGAATTCATCCTGAGGATGTTCGTCGACCTCAATCCAGATAGCGAAAAGATTATCTATTCCCATTTTACGTGCGCCACAGGTATGTATTTGCTTTCTATTGATAAGCCTCATTGTCGCGCTAACGTTTATCCTCGCGCCCTTAGTCCTTGCGTGAGTGTGTTCAGCTTATAGCTTGGTATTTCTAGATTATAAATTTGGTTTGGATTTGCAGGTCCATCGGCAAGATTTTGGCACGCCACATGGATATAGCCGTCATATTTCTTAATTATAACAATAATAACAATAACAACAAAAACAACAACAATAATAATAATAATAATAATAATAAGAATAATAACAATAACGATAACGATAATAACAATGGAGTGGATAAAAGGAGAGTAGTCATTGACATATGTAATCTCGATTATATAAAAATTAAGAGTCATTAGATTAAATAATAAAGTTTCGTATAAACGAATGAAGACAGTGATCGGACAAATAAATATTACTATCTGTCTATTAAATCTCTCATTAAAGCTCCTTATATATATATATATATATATATAATAATATGGTATTCTCCTTTTGTCGCACACTACTCTTACGCAATATTTAACATTTGATTCTTTCTCTTTCAAATTACACATTGCATGCCGCATGCGGGGGACCTTGGGTACTTTTTTACAGACACGGAAAATATCAAACTTGTGTTTTGCGCTGTAAAGGATACGATCATGCAGAGCGCCTTGAAGGAATTCAATTTGGCTTAAATACCCCTAACATTGACCAGGCGTAGGCGTTTCTTCCAGAAAATCAAAATGCACGATTATATAATTGTATGCCTTTATCCTCTCTCTTCCTTCCTATTTAATTAACTACTTCATCTTATTTAAACTAGATTATATAAGTGTCTATGCAGAATTTTATAACAGATTCTTTTTAGACTCTCGTTTCCTTATTCTCCTTACTTTTTCAACTACTACTTTTATGTTTAATTTATATCTTGTTATTATTATGTGCTTAGTCAGTCCGTTTAAAAGAGTTCCAAGAAATAAAATAAATGAAAAATGAAAAATGAAAAATGAAAAATGAAAAATGAAAAAGAACAAAGAGAATGAGGCAACATGCCGAAGGCGAGTGCCAAATGCGTACGTGAAAAGGATAAAAATGAAAAATGTCTGTAATGTGTGTGATTTTGCCGGCATTCTGTCTCGGACATGTGCACAAACGTTTTCAGGCCGCAGATTGTTTCAGCGAGATTTTTCATTTTTCTTTCTAACTTTTTCGCCGATCCACGCAATGTAACCGATTACGTTATCTCTAAAACTATGTTAATCCTCCTCACTATTCTGCAAATTAAATAATACAACTTGGAATATAACTGCTAACATTGGTGTTGTTTATTTGTCTTCTCAACATATTCTTACCTACCTTCTCTCTTTCCAAGTTTCTTTCAATAATATATTAAATCTTTCCTTCGTGCGATGAAAAGTGATTGTTACTATGTCCATTATTTTGCCTTACGTTCTCTAATATTTCCAATATTATAATATGTTATTTTCAATGAAAAATCATGCAAATTAATTTCTAATCTGCATGCAATCATTATGTTTATGTCATTCTATGCGCCTGTTTGTGCCTGGATTTTGCACGAATATGAAAGTGTTATTTCGTGCTTTTCTTTTTTCTTAATTAACAAGGGGTAAGTTTGTCTTTTAGTTTTTGCTGTTTTTGCAATTATAGCTTGTGATAAATAATTTTATACCAAATTTCTGTTAAGGCATGTTTGCTCTATTAAAAATCTATTTATCGATTTTATTTATCACAAGTTTTAGTTTTAATTATTATTTTAAGTATGTGACAAAGTTGAATTTTTCCAATATAATAATTGTAAAATAAGGGCATAAAATTTTAATGATTTTCTTTCTCAGTAATTTCCTTCAAACCTCCTGTCATTTTCTAGATTTTAGAAAATCTGAATTTTTCCGAATAATGGACAAGTTCTATGGGCATTGTTGATAAAATAGATAAATTTAAAATTATCTATAATTCCAAATTGAATCTATTGTTTTTGAAAACTTTTAATATCTTTGATTTTTAAACATGTTAAAGTTCACTTGCAGGCTTCTTATTATTAAATTAAAGCATTGTATAACTGCAATCTTTGACACGCGTAGAAACGCGATCGTGACCACTACATGTAATAAATCTAATTAATTAGTAAATTGTATGAAACCCGAATATTACTCTCTCTATATGTACACACATGTGTGTATATATATATATATATATAGCTTTAACGTTACAAATATATAAAAACTTGGTAAATACCTTAACGCTTAACAAAGTACTATTTGAAAAGCATCACTGATAAACGAAGTTCTATATCGAAAAGAATCTCGAGGTCAAAAAAAACAAAAAAAAAAAAAGGTTAGAATTTATAATTTTGAATATGTATTTCTATTTTTAGAACATGCTTTTGCATGTTCCTCTTTCTCATCCAATATAAGCTCTATCATGATCTTATAAACACTGAAAATTCTCATATTTGATTGAATTTTAAATAATAGTATTATTATTTTAAGGAAGTGTAATAACACTAATTTTCTAATGGAATTTTATGGAATAGAAATAACAGCACCTCGTACTTCCTTAAGGTTGACTGATTATTTAATCGATAAAGATCAACAAGTTCATCTTTTATAATGTTAATTGAGTTGAGATAGTATTATTTGCAAGCAATGTATAATATCCGCGATGTCTGGTGGAAAGTAGCGTGGCCGTAAATTTCTTATCGTAACGAGAGTTACGGAATGTGTAGCCAACAATGGGGATATAGCAAAGCCTTTAGTACTTATCTTATTGTCTTACATATGAGTCATATCCGAGACACGTGGATTATACTTCTCTTTTGTGGTGATCAACACACCGCATTACAAATATACTCTAAAAGATTTAGAGATTTAGTCTTATTGTAATTACATGCCGTCTCGACAAAAGGAGGAACCAGGCATATCTCAATATTCAAGCGAACTGTCAATCGTCTGTCTCTTAAAGAGAGTACCATTTTATTAAGCTTGTGCCATGTAACTTAATCTTAAATATTTTAGCAAAATTTTGTGTGTGTGTGTGTGTGTGTGTGTGTGTGTGTGTGTGTTCATCGTGAATATGTTGCTAGTTAAAAATACAGAGAAAAAGATTATTTAATGATTTTTTTGTTCTAAATTTGTCTGCATTTGCTGTCAAATTTACATTTAAAAAGGCCAATATATCTCTTCTACAGCACAACTGTATTTAAAAACACATCTATAAATACCTTCTGAATACATTATTCACTGAATAACAAACAATTGTATCAATTCGCACAAAAACCACATTCATATCCTAAAACCTCTCTCGAACTGATTCACTCGATGCTTTTCCCGAATTATTCACAGCTTCAGGTTGAATGGCGTATACAAAATATTTAGTAGATCATAATTGCTTGAAACGCGATGAATTTACCATTTCTTCATCCTTTCTATCCTTACTTTTTTTCTTTTCTTTTATTCTTCATCATCATCATCTTCTTCTTCTGTTTTTATTTTACAGCCTGAACGATGGATTTTCTATTAACAAAAGAGCTTTTCAAACCCAAATAGTTGCGTTCGTCGAATAAGATCGCACATCCTAGCCTATTCATGATACTAAATTCAAATGTATTTTGGCGAAAGTATTAGCATGCAAAGTTAATCAAAAGTTTGGAAAAATTCAATTTTCGTTTATGCTGCAGTGATAGCGCGACGCCAATAGCAGCGCAACCAAAGAAAGTTCCCGAGCTAATTCTCCTCTCGTTCCCCGCAGATACGGAAAACATTCGCTTTGTGTTCGCGGCGGTGAAAGACACGATTCTACAGTCCAACCTCAAGGAATACAACTTGGTGTAAGGACGCGTGCGCACGAGGAGAAGAGTACGGAAGGAGCCGCGGCCGGCTGCGTTGGCGGCGACATCGGCATCGGCGAGCGCACTCACTCGCCTTCGATTGGGGCGGCAACGGAACGCTGTCGTATACCGCTCCGGAGGACGAGGATGGCGCGGCGGATCGTTGATAACCAGGATTATTGCGACGTGGACTAACACAAGGACGATTACGACAACGACCACGACCACGACGATGAGGAGGATGATTGCGACGGCTATTGCGACCCCACGTCGTCGGCCGCACACAGGCACGCCCGTACACGTGTCTGCGTAAATTTTCACGTGCAGGATGCGCGCGCGCGCGCGCGCTTCTACGTGTGTATATTATTTACGAGACGAGAGAGCGCCCGCGTATCCTCCCCCACTTGACGACCAACATCGCCACGACTACGATGACCATTAACGGCGGAGACGAGGTCGGGGAATATTACAAGCGTGTTTGTGTGCGAACGAGCGAGCGAGCGAACGAGCGTGAAGGGGCCTGATTGTATTTTTTACTAACGATTTTAACGAACGGAAATAATGTGTCGCGCTTCTTTTTCTTTTTGGCAACCCCTTGCGCGTCGTTTAACCTTGCCAGACGAATCTAGGTAGTTGATGAAACAAAATAAGAATTAATTAACGGAGAGTGGATTGCGGAAAGTAAACGTAATAAGCGTGTAAACGGAGTTGCAGCAAACGATAAAAGTTTGGAGGAATAGAGATGTAGAGGTTAATTGAGAATCTAAAGTCAACGCAATATAAGAAGTCTGTACGATGAGCGAAAGAAATATAATAAAAACGTGAAATTTCAATTTTAAGGAAAGAGATAAGCCTCCGCCATCGATTATGATCCCATGAAAAATACCCTTCCAAATATTCAATAGAAAAATCTTAAAAAGTAAAAAATCTCATATAGCTTTTCCAATTATTGAGCGAACGGATTTACTTTCATACTCCATGCGTTGAATTTGTTACCTTTTTATATTGCTTAGCTTAATCGATCGAGCACAACTGACTACGATGTCCCTTAATTTATTATAAATGTATTTATATATACACACACACACACACACACACACACACACACACACACATATATATATACATAATACATTTATAAATTTATAGAGGCTGATTTGAATAAAGGGAGATTATTAATTAGAGTATGCGAGAATTGTTGAATGAGGGTGTTTAATAAAAATAATACGATCGTTTGTATTAATATGTTTATTAAACATAACCGAATCAAAGCTGTGCGCCTCGCTGTTACCTCATCCTCGATACGACTGCCCCAAACGTATATGTACATCCGCAAATACAGTTGTAGTATACCTGATACAATTTATTGTTTCATGCATATTCGTACATGTTTACGCAAGTCGACTTCGAGACTGCTCGTACCGCTCACATTATGTAAATAAAAAATGTAGAGTTTTTATATCTAAACATCCACTTTAAAACTCTATATTTAAATCAATCATGATTTACTTTTAAGTTATAATGTTCGTTAAGTTAACGCTCTTGGCAATATATCATCGACTATTGGATTAATCTATTATACTTTACATTGACTTTGTCGTATGTTCGTACGTATTTCATATGAACATGGTATCGATGTCAATGTGTTTGCATCTTTTATAAAAATTTGGTTTCTCTAACATTCGATAACGCACTCGTAATATTTAAATGCAATGTGTAATTTTTAATTACCATTGCTTGTTCAATAAGGTTATTGGACTTAATTCTTTTTCTGTAGTTATTGAAATGGCGTTAATACGTTCAATCTCCATTATATCTAACCTTACGTCAAATTACTATCAATTTTGCATATTTACGCTTGATAGTGGAATTAATTTATATTTTCTTTATCGACAGCCTAATCGGCATCGCTATATCAGTAAAAACTATAACGTGTACAATACAATAAGCCTAAATGTAAAGTGCCATTTCGGTATCTTAAAATACGTTCTATTAATAACCAATGGGCTTCGCTTCGCTTATCTAATACTCTAGAAGCAATATTAACTGCAAAACTAATATTAGGCCTGCTTACTACTTAAACAAGCATAAAGCTATCTCTTGTCTCTCAATATGTTACATTTAAATTGTGTTTTTTTTTTTTTTTTTTTTTTTTTTTTTGAGAAGAATCGCATCCCCATAAATTTTAATCGGAATCGAAACGCTATCCGCCTCGCTCAAATAAGATTTTTTTCTCAAATATTTTGTATACGTTGAGTTTCACCAATAAAGCTAAGTCCATCGTTTATTCGATGTGATTGTATCTCATGAAATAATTAACATGTGTCATTACATCAATTATTGAAATTACTATAAAGATACGGCTGCAATTTTCCTGAAGCCTTCGTTAAATTGATTATTAATTTGAATGCGAAATAATTTCAAACTCTCTTCATTGGCAATTAATTTTGGCTATTATGGCCTTTCTTCGGATTATTAACATTCCTGGCAGCCATATTGTCATAGACTATCGTATAAATAATATTAATTTTATCGAGCAGGTGCCAGTTCGCTCAGCCCCGAGGCAAATTTCCAGATGCACATCAATCCCATCCATCACTTCATTACTTCAATTAATCTCTGGCTAAATATTTCTTGCTGATAACTTCGGTCGGAGGATTCGGTATTGCCTATCCAGCTTGACGCCATATCTTAACACAAGTAATATCGAGTATTATAGAAGTCCAAACAATTGATATGTTATATTTTGCTATTCTTATTTCTATTCTGTTGGACACCTTCTTTTATTTTCATTTTTTTTTTTTTTTTTTTTTTTTACGGTAGATATTATTCAATAACCATTAATTTCCATGCTTTGGTTACTTGATTTGAGGCTCGAACTTATTGCAACGTTCGTATACCAAATTTTATGCCCCAATTCATATATTTATCGTTCGAAGGAATTCTTAAAAATTACAAAGTCACTCTCGACTTTTCGTTATAAAGATTTTCCATATACTAATGGATGCTCATCCAAGTAAGTGAAATAGTAAGAAATTAGTAAGGAGGGGATAACAAACGTAAATTATTACTTATTTATATAAAAATAAAGCTCACGAAGTGCAGCTTCCTTAGTCGCACTGATACCACGTCTGTCCAATACAGATTTCGAGTCGAGAATCGAAGCCGAGGACGCGATTACGAATAATAATTTAATAGATAAGTATTAACGAAATGGTTGTTTTTGAGCGAGATTGAGACGTGGAAAAGAAAGAAGGCGAAGAATGTAGATGATAAATGACGCAAAAATAGACAAAATATTAAGGATCACCGGAGAAAGAGAGACAAAGTGAGTGTATTTGAAGAAAAAAACATGGTACATTTGTTTTTCCAAATAATTTTCTTTTTTAATAATGATCAAAGGATAGAGTGAAGTAGACTGTATGCGTGCATGCGCTTGAATAATTATGTTACGAAAATAATACAACAATTAAAGTTGGCAAAAGGTACGGAAAGCTTTTTTAATACGATATAGTTGGAGACACGAGTGAGAGCAATTCTAGTGCCATTTACTAGCGTGTTGTTTTTATTGTATTTTTTTTTTTTTTTTTTTTTTTTTTTTTTTGTCAGACGCGAGAAGCCAAAATGTGTCCCCACCCCCTACCCTTGCCCTTAATTGCGCCAGAAATGACTGAGAGTTTTTTCTGCGTGTAACTCAAATTCACGGTTCAATGTATAAATATTGTTATATATAATAAATAAAAATATCTAGAATAGCGAGCGTTTAGGGAGATTGGGAAGCAAATTAACAAAGGAGGAGAAGGAGATTCATAGAATCTTATGCCATTCGCTTCTAATTAATCTCTTCATTCCTTACATTTATGTCTCATCATTTGAATTAGAACAGGTGTATTAGTATTTTCATTGAAAGCAATTTTAAACTTATTTAAATCATGATTTTAGAATGGAATATTTTTTCTTAATTTCGAGTTAAGAGATTAAACTTATAATCGTTGCGATTGGTTAGTCGTTAAATATTGTAACGTAAGTAATTCACATTTTTGTAGGATTAACCATTCAAGAATTAGTATGTTTATACTAACCGTATATCGTCAATTGAAATAAATTCTCTTTAATTAAAATGTATTTCAATTGAAAACGTGTTCTTGATAAAAAAAAAAGAAGAAAAAAAACCAACGTAGAATTTTCACTTTCACCGTTTGGCACACAACTAATCGTACCTGATTAAATCTCATCCTGAATTAATTAAATCTCATAGCGTGAATTTTCCATACTTTCACAGCCCCATGAATTGCTTCGTAATAGGATAGTTTATGCAACGAAGCACCATATGCCATCTCATTTATAATTTGCTTGAGCACTCGGAAGCCAAAGGGCAATAGTAAAAACGAAAGAATAATGAGGCAAATTGAATGCGTTGATGGCTTATCGACACATTCGTTAGAAAGCAATGTCCTCTACACTGTAAGAGAGATTCGCGATCTCAATCGTCCGTCAAGAGCAATGGTCCAGCTGTCTCATCGAGGAGTAACGATGTATTTGTTGTATAGATTTTAAAAAATTTTGGAAACCTATAGGAGCCAAGTATGGTGACTGGTTGCAAATAGATATGATATGGTTAATCGGTCGTTGTAGGTGGTAGACATCTATTAGGAGACTGTTTTATCGACATTAAGACTCGGGCTGATTAGATATTATTTTCTTCGCATAATCTAAATCTCGCCGTTCAACTGTTCCCTGTAATAATAATAATAATAATAATAATAATAATAATAATAATAACAATTATTAACTTATACATTTTTTTAATTTAAGTTATTTTTAATTTTTAACTTAAGGAATTGAATAAGTGCAATGAATAGCCGATAGCTTGTGGAGTAACAAGTAATTTGTATATGAAGATCAAAGTTAATTTAAAGTTTAATGGCCCTTTTATTCGAGATGCCAGAAATATAATGTGTCATATGTTTTTATAATTTCGTTTGTTAAAGAAAGCCGTAGTAGTTGTGAGTTTTTTTTCTTTCTTGTAAGCATATACGTTACAATGATGGAAAATTGAATTCCTAAATAAATAAGAGTTTTTCGCAATTTTCTGAAATAGATTGTTCATGAAATGTAGCGAAGGTATTTGCGAAATGTTTAATTATATACACGTAAAGTACAAATGTTATTTTTAAACGTATTTATCAGGTAACAAAAGTGTATTCCATTAAGAAAAATCTTGTTTGTCGAATGATGAAAATGCCTTTTCCGTTTAGAGTTAATAAAAAAAAAGGCGAAAAGAATAGTTTCTCCAAACAGTCTTAGTATTGAAATGCCATTATTTCTACCGGCACACGTAGATACTAACGATGGACCAAAGTTCATGATGATCTTCCGAATTTCTTCTCGTTACACAGAACTAATCTCCCAGCATTTCGACCAACTGACTTCTATTTCCTATCTCTCCTTACTTTTCGTATAAAACAAAAAAAAAAAC